TCATCTCTTTATAAGCAGGAAATTACAAATACTCACAGTGCAATGTTCCAAAAAACACAGGAAATATTTGGGCTGGACATTGAAGACAGTGTCTGGACAAATAAACACATAACTCACATTTTAATTTACTATAAGCTTACCTGTTCAGTATATCCTGATAGATTGAATGATATGATTACTGGCTCTGTCAGCTCATCGGTAATACATGTACCATTACATTCAACAGTAGCAGATATGACTGGTGATATAAGCTCTCGGTTATCAGGCTCAGTAGGTGAAAGGATTGATAATAAGCTATTGCCACTGTATACAAAAGATGCTACTGTTGCTGGTAGAGAGTCAATGAATATCATAGCTGGTAAACTTAAACTGTTGCCATTGTAGTTCAATACTGTTAGCCTTTCACCAGAAAAAGATTCAATCCGTGTCACATTGAGAACTATATATTGCACATTATAGAGAATATAATATACATACATTAATTTTTCTCACAAATATTTCCAAAATTCAAAGGAGTGCTTTGAGTTAAATTTGTGCTTTGAGGTAATATTGTACTTTCTGCTACATTAAGAGCAAAGGTATCCAATGATACAAGGAATTGAGTGACAACTGAGAGCTTGACTGTTACTAGCTGTCAGTGTATGATAAAATAAATACTACAACTAATGAAACTATACTTCATTTGTAGGCAGTTCGTTTATTATGAGTTCAGCAGTTCTTAACACCATCTATAGAGTAATATATGAATTAGCACTAGTGACACTATGTTTATATATCATCAACACCATATAGGGCTATTTATAATTACACTGAAGCATGAATTTATAGTATGTACTAAAGAAAAGACCAGATTTAAAAAGGGTTTACTAGAATTTACTATGTTTACAAATGCTTTTTATAGTGTCAAAGTTATAATTATTGCTATGTACTCATAATTATTTGAATATCAGTAGCATTTTACATTAATACAAAGTATAAGTACTTTTCTACAATACCTCAGTAACATCCACAGTGATATTTATTACTCTATTGATTATATTGTCAAGCAATGTAATACTTTGTTCTGGTGTTAACCGATCCAGTTCTTCAAAAAGGCTCTGGAGGGCACCAATCGGTGATCGATTGACCTAAATAAATGCATCAATCATAATAGTTATAAATATTAGAGTTAAAATAAAAGGGATAGGACACTACAGAAATCATCACAGGCATATAATGCATATCAATATTTATTTTTAGTCAATATCTAAGAGTGAATTGATTCAGTTTATAATGCATAACATAGTCACAATACTAAAAGCAGGTTTACAATATGATGCTGCTAGGCCAGTGTAATTTCAATTTTTAATCAAAAGCGTGGGAGATTTGACTTTTTGATGCATGCTTTCTGCTAATGAACATTAAGCCTAATGTAATAATAAATCTGCCTTAACATAATAATAATAATATACTGTACATGTACATAGATTGTGTTTCTTAGAATGGGCATAAAATCAAGAGTAGATCCTTATCTACTCTTTATAAATGTACATGAACACTCCTCCAAAAATATGTGCCATATGAGTGTATGTATGCATGTACATAAGTGGTTAATCATTCTTTAGCACATCATTACACATCATTTATTGCTTACTGGTAAAATGGCAAAATGTGTTAAATGATTACAGTGACAAGTTACACTCTGTTGATCCACTGATGATGCATTACATCCTTCATTGTCCCAGAAGCCACTAGGCAACAAATCATTTGAGCTATAAAATGGCATGAAATTACAAACACTTACAGTGTAGTGTTCCAAAAAACACAGGAAATAGTTGAAAACGATATCTGAACAAAAAAGGACATAACTCATAATTATTTTTATTTTTATAAGCTTACCAGTTGAGCATGTCTTAATAAAGCAAATGTTATGACCACTGGCTCTGTCAGTTCACTGGTAATACATGTACTATTACATTCAACAGTAGCAGATACAACTGGTGATATAAGCTTTCGGTTATCAGGCTCAGTAGGTGAAAGGATTGATAATAACTTATTACCACTGTATACAAAAGATGCTACTGTTGCTGGTAGAGAGTTATTAAATATCATAGCTGGTAAGCTTAAACTGTTGCCATTGTAGTTCAATACTGTTAGCCTTTCACCAGAAAAAGATTCAATCTGTGTCACATTAGAAACTATGCATTGCATATTATAGAGAATGTATTAGTATAATACATTTAATCACTCACAAGTATTTCCATAACCAAAAGAAGTGCTTTGAGCTACTTTAAGAGCAAAGGTATCCAATGATAAAAGGAATTGAGTGACTGTCCTTGTCTGTCAGTGTATGATAAAATAAATACTACACCTAATGAAACCATACCTCATTTACAGTCAGTTTGTTCACTATGAGTTCAGCAGTTTTTAATACCATCTATAGATTAATATAAATTAGCACTAGTGACATTATGTTTATACCATAATCATCATGCAACACCAATAAGGCTATCAATAATCAAACTAAAGCACAAATTCATAGTTTGTATTATAAGGAAATGCCCAAATTAAAAGAGGTTTACTATAAAATAGAATTACTGTGTTTAGAAGATTTTATATTATCTTAAAGCTGTACACTCATATTTGAATATCACTAGCATTTAACATAAATACAAAGTATAAGTATATTTCTATAATACCTCAGTAACATCCACAGTGATATTTATTACTTCATTGATTATATTGTCAAGCAATGTAATACTTTGCTCTGGTGTAAACTGATCCAGTTCTTCAAAAAGGTTCTGGAGGGCACCAATGGTTGATTGATTGACCTAAATACATACATCATTCATAATAGTTATAGATATTAGAGTTAAGAGAAAAGGGATAGGAAACTATGGAAATCATCACAGGCATATAATGCATATCAATCTTTATTTTTAGTCAATATCTGAGAGTGAACTCATTCAGTCTATAATGCGTAACATAGTCACAATACTAAAAGCAGGTTTACAATACAATGTGTACTGTCAATTTTTAATCAAAAGTGTCAGTGATTTGACCTTTTGATGCATGCTTTGTGCAACATCATTACATCAAGCCTATAATATAATATTGTAAATCCACCTTGATACACTTTTCATATTAGATTGTGCTCATTAGAATATGCATAAAATGTACATGAACACTCCTCCAAAAATATGTGTCATATGAGTACGGTATATGCATACCGGTACATGTAGATAAGTGGTTAATCATTCTTTAGCACATCATTACACATCATTTATTGCTTACTGGTAAAATGGCAAAATGTGCAAAATGATTACACTGACAAGTTACACTCTGTTGATCCACTGATGATGCATTACATCCTTCAGTGTCCCAGAAGCCACTAGGCAATAAATCATTTGAGCTATAAAATGCAATCAATCATCTGTTTAATGAGCGGAAAATTACAAAACACTCACCGTGAAATGTTCCAAAAAACACAGGAAATAGCTGAAGACAATATCTGGACAAAAAACACATAACTTACATTATTTTTTATTCATTATAAGCTTACTGGTTGAGTATGTCTTAATAAAGTGAATGATATAACCACTGGCTCAGTCAGTTCACTGGTAATACAAGTACCAATACAATTAACAGCAGCAGATATGACTGGTGATATAAGCTTTCGGCCATCAGAAGGTGAAAGGATTGATGATAAGTTACTGTATACAAAAGATGCTACTGTTGCTGGTAGAGAGTTATTAAGTATCTTGGCTGGTAAGCTTAAACTGTTGCCATTGTAATTCAATACTGTTAGCCTTTCACCAGAAAAAGATTCATTCCGAGTCACATTGAGAACTATTATATTGCATATTATAGAGAATGTATTAGTATAATACATTTAATCACTCACAAGTATTTCCATAACCAAAAGAAGTGCTTTGAGCTACTTTAAGAGCAAAGGTATCCAATGATAAAAGGAATTGAGTGGCAACTGAATGCTTGACTGTCACTGCCTGTTAGTGCATGATAAAATAAACACTACAACTAATAGAAGCCATACCTCATTTATAGGCAGTTTGTTCACTATGAGCTCAGCAG